GGGTGCACAATCCTTTACCATTGTATTCTTGAAATTTAACTCCCTTAAATAGTTACCGCCTACTTGGTTTGAGGGAACTAGAAAAAAGGGAACGGTGGGAAAATAATTTCGTCTATTCAAATTAAAATATTAAGCCAGTATGTTAATTTAATTGGATAAAATGCTCTCATTTTCCTCATCTCGTCAAGAAGTAGACACAAGGATAGCTAAATCCTCACATGCATTTTTCATTTTAATGCAGAAAAATTGTTTGTTTTTCTAGACAAGGGGTGCATAAATGCATAATCCTTTTCCATTTGTCTTCTTGAAATTTTAACTTTCTTGGACAGTATGAGCAGCAGTATAAGTAATTTATTCAAGAATTTAATTTAATTTTTTAAGTATGAGATTTTATAATGATAGAACAAGGATATCTCTCCTCTCCAATGTTATGACTACCTATGTTTTTGTCAAAACAATTAATTTTTTTCATAATTTTGTTAATTTACAATTTTGTTCATTTACAATTTTTTTAAACTTATTTAAAAAAATTAAAAATATCTATTTATAAATTAATTTTAATCAGTTAAAAAATAAAATATTATTTATTTTATTAATTATTAATTATTTTTAATAATTAAATTGAATCCTGACAAAATTAATGGTGGCACTTAACCATAACGCCAATGGGAACTTGTCTCAAGGTTGAGCCCTTTTTCGTTTTTCTTTTCTTGGAACAAAGATGAAATATCTCAAGGTGGAGTTTGAGATTTCCAACTTCCCATCTCTACACTACAAAGCTAGATTTTATGTTACTCTTGAGCCAAAACAGAAGAAAAGAATCAGGGGGGCAGCGTCAGTTGAAATCAGTCTGATGTACGTGTGTCCTGGTTGGTGATTTCCAGTGGCGCATGATGAGAATTAGAGTGGAAAAACTCCCTCTCAGGCATTTCCACAAACACCGTGAGGGTTAACAACTCGGCTATAGTTCTGACTTCTAATTCCAGATCAGTTACAGCATATTGGCTAACCAGTTCATTTCTTCTTTTGCAGTTAAGGCTTAATAACTTTGATGTTATAAAGGCATTTTCACAGACACTTTGTTCCATGTGTTCTGCCTCCCCAAAGGGGAAAAATATTTTGTGTTTTATTGTCCTTGATATGCTAGAACAGAGAAACAGAACATAGATACATATATTCATCTTCATAGAATGTAAACAGGGTGTTGAAAAAAGTTCTTACATTACATAATTGCATAGCTGATTTCCAAGATTAGGCAAGTTTTTACTCACTAGGTAAGCTAAAAACAAAACATCAGGTGAAATTCATCTCAATAGAATGGGAATAGAGAACCCATGTTCCAGAAGTAAAATTTTGGACTCAATGAGTGTGAATATGGATTATAGCCAAGATATTTTAGATGAAAGGAGAAGATATGGGCTTTATTTGTGTTACCTTCTTCAAACAAGTATGCCACCATAATTTGTTTTTGTCGAGCTGTAACTATATAATTCTAATTTCTGATGGGTCATATTTGTAGATCACAAACCAATGCACTGTCTCTAAGAACCCAAAATTAGATAAAAGGATAATACACGAGGAAAATCCCATTAACTAGTAGAGGAATGATTGCTGAAATAGACAAGCTTTCACTGTTGATCTCACTTTTGTGCTAAGAACAGAATTATAAGATAAAGTGTTTAGCCATCTGTGTCAGAGAGCTGTTTATTAGTCACTAAATGGGTATTGCTCATACCTAATTGCACAATCATAGAGCAGTGAACGAGCCCCGATCCGGCTTTGACAAGTGCCAAACATGCTGGTTTTAGCGGCCGCAAGACATGCAGTACAATCTGATCTTGTGAGGTTCTGGTTGCAAGCACCATGACCATAGGCAAAAGCATTCGGATATGGGGAGATGTTGAAGTAGTCATAGCCTTTGCGGGTAGGTGTAACGGTTTCTAAGTCTGTGAGAACATAGGCTAAACTGATGGCAAAAGGATCACCACTTGAATACGCACCTGTGTTGCAGAGAACAGTTCTCACGTTCGTGTTTGGAACACTTCTCACCATACTGCAGAACATGAACATCCCAATTATAGCTACTGCCAGTTTTTGCAGAAAACCCATCTCACTCTTCTTTTCCTCTCTTGCTTTTCTCTGCCTTTCTGCTCAGAAACCAGGCCTGTATGACTTTTAGGTGCGTTTTCCATCAATCTAGTTGTAAACACGCGGTTTTTGTCCTTATTCGTTTGTTTTTGTTTGACCTTGCTCGCTCCATTTGTATCTTTTTGTTTCATTTATTTAATGTTTTCTTATATGGACCAGGTATCATTTATCTTCCAATCCGTCCATGCTATCTTATTATGATTCTTATCTCCACATGCTACCTCAGTGTTTCGTTTAGAAACTGAGTTCCATCGGAGATTTAGGGAGCATCTAGGATTGTTATAAGATAATGTGATTTGTAGTTGCATTTATGATTATACAAAATTTTGATGTGCTATAATTATAATTAAAAGTTATTTTAATATTTAGTTATTTATTTTTTAAAAATATTATGGATGAAATATAATAAATTTTATTAATTATTAATTAAAATTTAAAAAATATT